ACAGCTCTGCCACTTGCCGGGGAAGTAATTAAATCTCTTTGATTCTTATCTGGATCCATTTAAAGTGAGCTCTATCCCTTGAATGAGCTGATAAATTCCTTCCTGTGCTTGAGCCATCTTGAGTTGTTTTGTGTCGTGCTACCGAAAGAGACCTGTTTACCACGACCCTGCAAAAGTTATAGGGTAGGCCCATGCTATTCAGCACGGAAGGCGGAGACCACAGACTGGTTTGCAGCATCAGAGCCCCAGACAGTGTTTGGGCATCTCAGACAGGGTTCAGGGAGAACAGGTGGCTGTGACTGGACAGTGATCTTCCCTCTGTTAACTCAGTCTGGACATCTCCTGACGTGTGAGAGTCCCAGGAGGGAATCCGGGTCTCCATCATGTGACAGAATCCCTGCCTGGGTTTCAGAGGCAGCTTTGGAGTTCGACCTGAGTTCACACCCGGCCCCTGAAAGTCCCTGGTGTGGCCTTGGGAAAGGCTCTTTATGTCTCCAATCTCAGTTGAAAAGGAATCACGTCGACCGACTTCTTAGCACAAGCGAGAAGGAAACCCTTAATGTCGGCCTTTGCGATTTCAAACACATGCAGAGAAACTGAAGGAGAGGAAGGGAAATGATTAAAGGGATGGGAAATAGCTGGAACAAAGCTTTCCAGAGTGTCCTGCTGGAAGTTTCCCACGTCCCTTTTGCACCCTGCGCTGGTCCACAGAATGGCCCGCCTCAAACACAGCTCTAATCATATCAGCACCCCACTGCAGACACTCTGATGACTGCTGCTGGCTTGATAAAAGCCCATGGCTGGAGCTGGCGTCAGCAACCCTTAAAGAACCCTCCATCTGCCAGCAGGCCTCTGCAGTACGGTCTGGCTTGCCCAGCGTGCAGTCCAGCCACAGTGGGCTGTGACAAACCCTGAGGTCTGTGGGTGCACATTCGTGAATACTACGTGCCTTAGAAGTGAATCTCTGAATCTAATCTAATTTTGACTATGAAATCCACTCTGAATGCAGTGTAGAGAGGGTTCTAGCTACCTAGAGGGGCCTCGGTAAAGTTTACCCCTTGTTTCCTATATTTAGCCAATTGGTAAAATTATGAATGCAGTATAGTTTATCTGTCGTTGTCCACAAGCCCTACCACTCCCTATTGCATCACGATATACCTTACCTTCAACTGTGCCACCATATGTGAATGCTTGAGAGAGTTCTTTTTAGTCTCCTTTTTGATAAGAAAAAAAAAATAGCCAACATTCCCACAAGGTCTCTTTTTTGTTTTCCATTTTTTTGTGTGTGAATTTCTTTTAACTAAGTTCAGAGGTACATATTGCAGGTTACAAAGGTAAACTTGTGTCATGGGGGTTTGTTGTACAGATGATTTCATCCCCCAGGTATTAAACCTAGTGCCCATTATATTTCTGATTCTCTCCCTCCTCCCACCTTCCATCCTCCAGAAGGCCCCAGTGTGTATTGTTCCTCTCTATCTGTCCATGTGTTCTCATCATTTAGCTCCCACTTCTAGGTGAGGATATGCAGTATTTGGTTTTCTGTTCCTGTGTTAGTTTGCTGAGGATATTGGTCTCCAGCTCCATTGATGTCCCTGCAAAGGACATGAGCACAACACTATTCACAGCAGCAAAGACAAGGTCTCTTGTTAATGCTAAAGTGGTATGAAGCTTTATTTTTTATCCTTGTTTAAACATATGTTTTATTTTACAAGTGGATACATTATTGATGTAAACATCTTAAACAATTCAGGAAAAGAGAAAGTTCCCCTGACTTTTCTTCACCCCTTGGGTCTCAGTCAAGTTCCAGTTTGCTCAGAGGTAAACCTTTTGTCAGTTCGGTGTATATCCTTTGATACATTTTTCAGATAGGCATCGATGGTGTGCGTGGTGAGGGAGAGATGGAGGATGTATACATACTTGAGTTTTGTTTTTTTTTTTAGAAAACGGTATCATCTTATGTTCACTTTTCTGCTTCTTTCATTTTTCACTAACAATATATGCTGTAGAGTTTTTAATGTCAGAAGAATTAAAATAGAAGAATCTTCCCCAAGCTGTGTAATGGTTTATAGTATGGATGGATCGCACATGACTTGGCTTTAAAGATCAGCAACTGGAAGTCCAACAGCCACATTCAGATCATGTATGTGTTTTTTGTTTGGCTAGAACCATGTTTTGCCTGGTAAAAACTGAAATGCAAATGACTTTAGCTAGTGGGCCATCATTAGTTACCCCAAAGGCCCTGCCACTCCCTACTGTCTCCCTTTATAGGTGGTTTAGTATTCAAACCTTGTACTTTAGTCATTATACTCTTTTAAAAATGTATTGCTGTCAGAACAATGCCACGATGGACAGTTAAGTGTGTGCCTTTTTATGTTTGTATTTCCCTAAGCAAGAAGTGGCTTCCCCCTAATAGGGGGGAATAAAAGGGGCTTGATGATGTAAATGGCACAAATTTAGGAAACGCTAAAGTTATGACTTGGGGGACATCAGAGTAATCAGCTGAAAACTCTGTTGCCCATGGAGCTCACTGAAGCAGAGGGAGTAGTTCTGCCTGAGGCTTATAGCTGTTGAATATCATATTTCCCTGACATATTCCTATTGGTTTTCAGCAGAGAAATATACACATTCACATGAGGTAATGTAGCCCAGGGATCTTGTGTGCTTGTGCTTTAAGGATGTGGCTGTTCACCACGGAATCAGCTACTTTCCCAGTCCTGAACGGGCTCCAAGAATGAGGGAGGGGAGGGAAGGTTCCAACCTCTGACATCCATCACACCGTGAGTTTCCCCATGGTTGGGCCCCGGATTCATGGCTTGGCAAGTCTTCAGCCACAGCTCGTGGACTTTCCTGGCTGAGGTCAGTCTGAAGTCTGGTCTCCCATTTAGGAGGCTAATGGTGCATGAAAGCTGCTCCATGGACACTGAGCTCTGTCTGAGCTCCCCAGTCTGTTGCCTTGGGAGTGAGTGTGGGAGAAATGGTGCCAAAGCCAGGTCAGTAAGAGCTGCAGGGGCTGGTTGCCTAACTCGGGAAGTCATACATTCTTAAGTCCTTTTTTGGATTCACATCTGTTAGCTGGTATTGGTCTGTGTCTTACCCTGGGTTGCCATAATAAAACACCATGGACTGCAGCTTAACCCACAGGAATGTATTTCTCATACTCTGGAGTCTGAGAGTTCAAGATGAAGGTACCAGCAGACTCGGTATCAGAAAAGGGTTTGCTCATTGGGTTGTAGGTGGCTGCCTTCTTGCTCTGTCTTCACGTGGCCTTTCTTGTGTGCAGGAGGGGAGAGAGAGAGAGAGAGAGAGAGAGAGAGAGAGAGAGAGAGAAAGTGAGAAAGTAAGGTCTCTGCTCTCTCTCCTTTTTTATGTTTCTTTCTTTTTTTTTTTTTTTTTTTTGAGATGGAGTCTCGCTCTCTCGCCCAGGCTGGAGTGCAGTGGCTCAATCTCGGCTCACTGCAAGCTCCGCCTCCCGGGTTCACGCCATTCTCCTGCCTCAGCCTCCCAAGTAGCTGGGACTACAGGCGCCTGCCACCAAGCCTGGCTAATTTTTTTGTATTTTTAGTAGAGACGGGGTTTCACCGTGTTAGCCAGGATGGTCTTGATCTCCTGACCTCGTGATCCGCCCGTCTTGGCCTCACAAAGTGCTGGGATTACAGGCATGAGCCACCGCGCCTGGCCATGTTTCATTTTTTTAACACAGAGTTTCACTCTTGTTGTCTGGGCTGGAGTGCAGTGGCACAATCTCAGTTCACTGCAACCTCCGCCTTCCCTGGTTCAAGTGATTCTCCTGCCTCAGCCGCCCAAGTAGCTGGGATTACAGGCACACACTACCACACCCAGCTAATTTTCTGTATTTGTAGTAGAGACAGGGTTTCACCATATTGGCCAGGCTGGCCTCGAACTCCTGACTTCAGATGATCCACCTACCTTGGCCTCCCAAAGTTCTGGGATTATAGGCGTGAGACACTGTGCCCGGGCAGCTGTCTCTTCTTCGATGGGCACTAATCTCATCATGAAGGCCCACCCTCATGACATCATCGAAACTTAATTACTTTCCAAAGGCCCAGTCTCCAAATACAATCACATTGGGGGTTAGGGCTTCAGTATATGAATTTTGGGGACATAGCTCAGTCCAAGCAGTCGGATCGGCAGTGTGGCTGAGGTTGGCCAAGTCATCCAGGTATAAGGGAAGCTGTAGGATAGCAAGCTTCTTAAGAGTTATCACACAGAAGAAGATCTGATCTCTAGATAGGAGACCCTTTCTAGGCATAGATGAACAATGTTGAGAGGTGTCTACACCAAATCCTTTGATATGGAGAAGGCTTGTAGGTAGGAGCCTGAACATCCACCTGACTTTATGTTGGGTTTAAATCTAATTTCTTCTGCTTGATAACATCCCGACTTTGGAAAAGTGACCTAACTTATACAAACCCAATATTTTCTTTTATGAAATGGGGTCCTAAAAGTTATTCCAGGGCTTAAATGAGATAAAATATGTAAACAACTTGGCACCATTCCTGGCACAACTCTCTATTTCACAGTATTTTGAGGAATTTTGCAAACATAAAGCTGCTGTTATTGCTGTCATTGTAGCTTTTATCTGGTGTTTCTCATAACACTGACTTAAAGGTTTAAGAGGGGAAAAAAACACGTCAAAAATGTCTTCAGCACCTTTGTTTTCATTTTCAGTGTTTATTTAATCATTATCAGTACACGGACATTGCTCACAGCCCTCCCCACTTTTTTTTTTCCTGACAAGATTGTTATAATATGTTGAAAATATTAATTATCCTATTCGCCTCATTAACAGGACTGGATAAACAAATCATGTTGCTGTGCTTGGTGGAAGAAAATGCGTGTGTGTGTGTGTGTGGTGTGTGTTGCAACCTTGTCCCCTCGGGTCATAACAAATTATCGATGCCAGTTCCTTTAAAAAGACAATTAATCCAATTACCTTCTTGTTGAATCAATACTAACGTCTTTTCTTCTTTAACTTGCAGGTTTCGGCAAGTCAGGCTACAGGCAAAGCTGAGGTAGGAAACACGGTTTTTGTGTCCCTTTAGAAGACAGTTTGAAGTGGGTTTCTTTTGTGATGGAGTGCAACGAGCACTCTCGCGGTGATTCTTCTGTTTCATTTCCTGGTGGCTTGGGTGGTATGTTTTCAGTTGAGTGGTTGCTGTGCTGCTGGGTTTTGGGGTGCCCAGGTCACCGCACTGCTCCTCATGGAGTGTGCATGGTAAAGATGATGCGGGGTGACTTCAGAGTCTGTTTCTTGATATATACATCATGATTCTAGCCCAGCTCAGACAAAGCCCTGGCTCTGCCAGTGAAACTTCCACTGTCTCTATTATACAGTTTCTCCATTACTTCTCTTTTGCTTTTTGTTTATATTTTTTTTCCTTTCCCTTATTTTATTTTATTTTATTATTTTTGGGACAGAGTCTCGCTCTGTTGCCCAGGCTGTAGGGCAGTGGCATGATCTTGGCTCATTGCAACCTCCACCTCCCGGGTTCAAGGGATTCCCCTGCCTCAGCCTCCTGAGTAGCTCGGACTATAGGTGTGCACCACCACACCTGGCTAATTTTTGTATTTTTAGTAGAGATGGGGTTTCGCCATGTTGACCAAGCTGGTCTCGAACTCCTGGCCTCAAGTGATCTGCCCACCTCAGCCTCCTAAAGTGTGGGGATTATAGGTGTGAGCCACCATGCCCAGCCTGTTTTTCTTTTTCTACTCAGTCTCCAAGGCATGAAAAGAATTGTGGTGGATGCTGACAACATAGGTAAAGAATAAAAAATGAAGCTGGTCAGAAGTCACCAGCAAGGTGACCACCCATTGGAAATTGTCCATGTTGTCATGTAATGGGCTCCTGCAGAATATGCTCAGCACTATGGAGCCAGTCACTCTCACTCCCAAGCCACTGTGTAGGTAAAGCAAAGAAACACCGACCCGGGTTCTGGGAGCCCTGGGCTCTGTGTGATGTTGCGCATCATCTTAATTACATCTAGTGTTCCATTCTTTTTTTTTTTTTTTTTTTTTTTTTTTGAGACAGAGTCTCGCTCTGTCACCCAGGCTGGAGTGCAGTGGCCGGATCTCAGCTCACTGCAAGCTCTGTCTCCCGGGTTTTTACACAATTCTCCTGCCTCAGCCTCCTGAGTAGCTGAGACTACAGGCGCCCGTCACCTCGCCCGGCTAGTTTTTTGTATTTTTTTAGTAGAGACGGGGTTTCACCGTGTTAGCCAGGACGGTCTCGAACTCCTGACCTCGTGATCCGCCCGTCTCGGCCTCCCAAAGTGCTGGGATTACAGGCTTGAGCCACCGTGCCCGGCCTAGTGTTCCATTCTTGGAACCCTAAGCATGTGGGAGTTATTTATATCCTACTGCTCAAGGTCATCACCAAAGTCTGATGTTTCAAATTCGAGAATTTGCAACCTCAGGCATAAATGGGTTAACTGTGGCTATTCGCTTTCCTCAGGTATACCATGGGGATAGTTATATCTCCCTTTGATCCACCACACGGTCGTTAGTGGGGTGAAATAGAATAAAACTTGTAGAGGCAGATTCTCACAGGGTTCTGCAAACACCTAAGGGGAGATCATTATCCACAAGTATCCATTCCCGTTCAAATGTCTCCATCCTCGGATGTGGTAACTTGGTGTGCAAAGGTTTTCCAGGAGCTGTGATGCATTTAGTGTGAGTGATTTCAGATGCCTAGTGAGGCAGGGATTTGGGAAGCACAAGGATAGGGCAGAGATGAGCAGCCTCCACTGTCACCTATATCCCCATGATCTTGGGACCAGTCACTCGAGTGAGTTATTAAACAACGCAAATCTTGTTTCCTCATTTTTGGAACGGGAATAGCAATATGCATCCTATGAAGCTGTTGAGAGCATTAAAATGGCAACGGCAGTGTTTCCTCTGGTGGTTTGCTGTCATGGGAATACCAGTTTCTATGTATTTAGTACCTCTGATGCACCATTTATTTATAAACGCACTGCATACATCATTATATAAAATCCTCACAAAAATTTTGTGATGTATAGGCTATGATGATCCCCACTTTACAGAAGAGTAAACTGAGACTTAGAAAGGCTGAGTAACTCTCCTAGCGCCATTCAACTAATGAGGAATAGAGCTGGAATGCGTAACCATGTCTGTCAGGGTACAAAGTGCCATCCTGTGTAAACCACACGGATTGTGGCCTGGTACCCAGCAGGTGTTCAGTAATATTAGCTCTGCCAGTCATGAAGGACTGATTGCCCTTTCTAGAGCATACCTGAATATGTCCTGTTTCTCTTTGGTCGGTACCCCATACAGCCATGTGTTGCCTATGATCTTCCATCTTTCTTCCTTTCCCCAGACACATTCTTACATCTGCATCCTATTTGGCAGTTTAAAATAATCATCCAACAAGAAAACACCCATGTTGCCCCTTTTCAACTTCACAAGATATATATAGAGATAGATAGATAGATAGATAGATAGATAGATAGATAGATAGATAGATAGATATATGTGTGTGTGTGTGTATATATATATATATATATAAAATGGAGTCTTGCCCTATCGCGAGGCTGGAGTACAGTGGCATGATCTCAGCTCACTGCTACTTCTGCCTCCCAGGTTCAAGCGATTCTCCTGCCTCAGCCTCCCAAGTAGCTGGGACTACAGGCGTGTACCACCATGCCCAGCTAATATTTGTATTTTTAGTAGAGATGGGGTTTCACCATGTTGGCCAGAATGGTCTCAATCTCTTGACCGTCTTGTGATCCGTCTGCCTTGGCCTCCCAAAGTGTTGGGATTACAGGTGTGAGCCGCCGCGCCCGACCATTCATAAGATATTTCTTATCCTCGTTTTACCAATTGAAAAAAAGGAGATCCGAGGAGTTGAAGTACTTCCAACATAGGTGAAATAATGTTTAATCATCCAACAATTCCACTTCTACTTGTGTGCCCAAGAGAAAGTAGTGCTTATGTCCACCAAAACAACACATGCAAGAATTCCCATAAAGGTTTGTTTTTTTTTTTTTTTTTTTTTTTTTAAGAAGGAGTCTTGCTCTGTTGCCCAGGCTGGAGTGCAGTGGTGCAATCTCGGCTCACTGCAAGCTGCACCTCCCGGGTTCATGCCATTCTCCTGCCTCAGCCTCCCGAGTAGCCAAGACTACAGGCGCCCGCCACCACGCCTGGCTAATTTTTTTGTATTTTTAGTAGAGACGGGATTTCACCATGTTAGCCAGGATGGTCTTGATCTCCTGACCTCATGATCCAGCCGCGTTGGCCTCCCAAAGTGCTGGGATTACAGGCGTGAGCCACCGCACCCAGTCCCCATAAAGGTTTTATTTACCATACCCAAACACTGGAAACAAACCAAATGTCTATTAACGGAATAATAGATAAATTCGATAGTGGTATATTCATGCAATGAAATACAATACAGCAATCAAAAAATATTATCTATAGATATATGACACAACCTGTATGAATCTTAGTGATATAATGTTATAAGAAAAAAACTATCAGAAGAAAAGAATGTACTGTCTGTGATTTCATTTGCATATGTACATCTACACCCACATATATATTATTTATATATTATATATGAGATATATATATAATATATAAAATAAACAGACAATATTCATCTCTGATGATGAAAGTAGCAATAGTGGTCACCTCTGGGAGGTGTTGTCTGAGTAGGGGCAGAAAGGGACCTAATGGAAATGTCCAACACTCTCATCTGGATGTATTTACGGAGGCAACCATCATATATAAAACTGATAGGGCTCTACACTGAGGGTGTGTGCATCTTTTAGGTTGTAATTTGTATGCCAAGAAAAAAAAAAAAATGAAGGCCCTTGGCAAGAAAAAGAGAAAACACAAACAGTATCAACCAGGATGATGGGGTGGGGAGAATGGTAGTGGGCGGGTGGTCATGGTAGGGGTAAGTAGGACGAAGGGAATTAGGAAGTGTAGGAATGCTTCATGTACAGAAATGCTTTTGATCAAAAATAGTCTTCCTTCCTTCATTCTTTTTTTATTCCAGTCTCCCATTTCCCAGATGGAACAGTTTTTTTTCATCTTTTTTTTTTTTCTCTCCTTACCAGTATTCATTCCTAAGGCTGAACGATCATTGCTGCAGCCAGATCAGATTTTCTTTCATGACGGCAGGGAGGTAACCTTTTATTAATTGAATTTCTAATGGCGATTCATCAAAGCAAGCGATCACCGTTATTTAATGTGTGATCCATATTCATGGCGTGTTCTGTGAGGTAAATAATAGTGGCTCTGGGAAAGCGCTTCTGCGAGATCCTTTTCCTTTTCAAATGACTTTCTTTTTTCCCCCCCCTAAGTAGAGACAAACAGTTGTAATTTAAGCAGAACAAACCCCACCTGTGGAGGAGACATTGGTTAAAAGGAGACAAAAGGAATGGCAAACCCACAGACTCAGTGAGAATGAGTGGCTTTGCCAGTTCCCTTTCTCTCTGCAGATTGACAGTGAATATGTGAATAACGTTTGCTAAATCTGGACTTTGAAAACATGACAGCAAGCTGTTTGTGCCAATAAATTTTCGTGGCATATGCCACCCCTCCCTGCACCACACACAGTTTTAATAAGATGGCACACCAGCTATTGAGAAATGTGAAAAACCCTGTGGAGGAGAGAGCTTTATCTTCTGACCAAATTCTGCCCGGCAATGTTTATGACAGCTGAAGAATTTATCTGAAATTCCCTCTGCTCGCTGCAAAGCACCTGGCCCTTTGTCCCCAAGCAGCCTTTAAGAACCAAACTAAGATGTCACATACATAATATAACAGATAAATGGCCCAATTTCCATGTCCACATGATGAATGGAATGCAAGTTCAGCACACACATATTTGCACATTAATTGGCCCTGCATGGTTCCATTTTGTTCCTAAGTTGCTACTGTATGTCTCGTGGACTCCTTCCCCTTCAAAATCATTAAGCCTGTTTTATCGCACAAACGCATACACATTTCCCCCTATTTATCGTCACGCAGCTTGCTCTGCTGAGAG